CTTCATTTGAAAAACTTCACATCCAGATTATTTCTGGGCCAAATGCTTCAGCCTCAGTGTTCTAAATCTCTTTCTACCTGTCTTTTCAGAATCATCCTCCGCCGACAATCTCTCCTACAACAACTTCGTGCAAAATCTAGTCGTCGATACAACCCCCAAGACGACGACGACGACGGCGATAAAGTTCGGAAGAAACATGAAAATCAAGAAGGTTATATCCATTTTTACAAAAGTATGGGCCAACATATTCTTACAAACCCACGAGTTCTCCACTCCATTGTCCAAAAATCTGATGTAAGACCCACAGACACGGTCTTAGAAATCGGCCCCGGCACCGGAAATCTCACTCTGAAGCTTCTTGAAAAGGCGGAAAAGGTAATTGCTGTCGAAATTGACAAGCGGATGGTTGATGTTCTCCATCAGCGTGCTGCCGAGCAAGGACTTGCTGATAAACTAACTGTAAGATTGAATTGTTCATTTATGTTCGATGAAATGCCCCAAAGAAGATAATGATATTGTAAATGGCTTTAGAATTCTGATTTGAATTTGGTTTCACAGGTTATATCCAAGGATGCATTGAAAACCGAGTTCCCACAGTTTGACCTTGTTGTGGCAAACATTCCATATGGAATATCTTCTCCTCTGGTTGCTAAGTTGGTATTCGGGGTTAACCCGTTTAGGAGCGCGACCCTTTTGCTTCAAAAAGAGTTCGCAAAGAGATTACTAGCTAACCCTGGTGACTCGGAGTTCAACCGTTTGGCTGTGAATGTGAAGCTGGTGGCTGAAGTGGAGTTTGTAATGAATGTAAGTAAAAGGGACTTTCTGCCCTGTCCAAGAGTTTATTCTTCTGTAGTTAAGATCCGTCCTAAAGCTGAAATTCCGCATGTGGATCTTGATGAATGGTGGGCTTTTACCAGAACATGCTTTAGGAAGAAGAATAAGACATTGGGTGCAACATTTAAGCAGAAGAAAAATCTGTATGAGCTATTGAAATTGTCTAGACTGACTGGTTCTGATGAACAGAATGCAGTCAATATAAATGGTGCAGTGACGATCAGATGATGAATGATGATGATGATTCTCCCTCTGGTTCAGAATCAGAATTGAATTTGTTTAGGGATAAAATGATTGCCATTCTAAAATCTAGTGGATTTGGAGATAAAAGACCTTCTAAGTTGTCTAATGAAGAGTTGCTTCATTTGCTCTCTTTGTTCAATCAAGCTGGGATAATTTTCCATGTTCGATCAAAACCAAGGAATACAGGCGATGATGAAGCGTTTGCTTCTTCGTGCAGTTCATTGTAACACAAATTTGTAGCACTGCTATACTTCCTTGTTTTTATTACTGGTCGAAGGTAAATCAGATGAACAATGATCACATTTAGCACCTCCCATTTTGTAAGAAGAATTACAATCTTTCCTCGATTGTGATTGTGCCATTTTAGCACCCCCACACTATATAGAATGGAGAAAAACCTCTCCATTTTTGTGATCGTGTTTCCCTTCGCAAAAGATATTCACATAACCTTGCTTAGCAAATGAAAAAAGAGTGTTTTTGGGGTGCATGACTCTCCATAAATAAATAGTTATTTTGTCTTTGAATTCATATTTGACAAGCAATCCAATCTAATAATAATTCTTTCTGTTGGAGTTCCTCCATCTCATATTCTTTTGATTGCTCATGTTTTTTTACAGAATCAAAAAATATTATTTCTATAGATGTTCGCATATTGTACACGACTTTGAGGTATTCATACACATTTATAAGTAAGGTGCACTTTTTGATCCTCTCCATGACTTGTTCGTGAAAAACACCATTAAACTAGATTGAGTTGCGGTGGTTGAGTCAAATTTGAGAGAGTAGTTGACGGAAATTAGCCCAAAAAAAAAAAAAACTTAAATTTCAATAAATCACGACAAACATGCCAAAATAGTTTATTTACGAAACTGTCAGTCTAAGGACTGCTAAAAAAAACCTGCCATCTCACATTGATTTTCAGCCCTTTTTTTTTGCCATTTAAAAAACCCAAAAATAATAATCTATCAAGACAATAATTTCATTTTCTACTGTGGCTAAGGAAATTACTATGATAAAGTTAAAGGGATTGTAAAAACAAAACCCTAAACGGCGTCGTGCTTATCCCTTGGATGTTTTAGGCTTTTAGCCGTCTTCTCACTCCTCCGGCTCCCATATCTGTAAACAATTCGTAGTCCTCAAAGTCGAAGCGATTGTTCAAGCTCAGAGATAACCATGGGTTTCGGAGCCCTAAGATCCATCATTCGACCCGTTTCAAGAGCCTTCTTATCAACCCGTACCACCTCCATTTTCTCTCCGGCGACCACCTCGCCGTCTCCGGATCTGCTCAGGTCACTTCACCGGAATGTTCCTTGGATTCCGCCATCAAGCGCTTTCCATAGCTTGACTGAAACTAGACTCCCCAAGCGACGGCCCAGTGACAAGCCTCGTCGTAAAAGGGCCAGCTTGAGACCCCCAGGTCCTCATTTGAATTCTCTTATCGTCATATACTGTGAAAGTAGTGTTTTACTAGGGTTTATTGTTGTGTAATTGTTAACGGCGAAGCCTGTGATCCATTTGCGGTTTTGTAAGCTGAGATTTGAATTTGAGATTTTTCGACATTTTCTTAAGGACATCTTGATCAATTTTATGAAAGCAGTTCCTTTGTTGTATTTATTTACTGTTTGTTGCTGTTTTGGTGGCTTTGACAGTATGAAATTTGATTAAATTGGGGCTTTTTTTGAGAATGCAGGGCCATATGCTTGGGTAAAGTATGTTCCTGGTCAACCCATACTCCCGAATAACCCTAACGAGGGGAGTGTCAAACATAGGAACGAGAAAAAACGAATCAGACAGCGGCTGGCATTCATATTGGTGCGTGTTCATAAATCCTTCTTGTTCTTGCAGTTTTGTTGTTGCTTTTATTTTGCTATAGCTACGTCTCTGTTTGTTTTTGCATCTGGCCTTGGGTAAACACTACATTGTTATTGTTTGATATGTTAGGATCATTAGTGGAGGGCTGATAGATATGAAGAGAACATGTTCTTGATTACTAGTTTCGTTTTGCAAGTAGGGTGGTTGACACGGCTAGGAATCTTAACAATAGTATGATTAATCTTGGTCATGGGAGGCTTGAGCAAGAGGGAAGTTATAGAGGTGAAATGTAGGGAATGATAGGTTTAATTTGACAATTCTTTTTGCAAGAAGAGATGTAATACATTCTGTTGTGATTTTGCAAATCATTTTTTGATTAATGCTTGAAGAATTGAGATGAGGAATATCCCGTCAACAGAACCAGTTGAGGCTGTATTGGTTTCATTTAGTTTAGTCTCCATGGCAACTCATTCCAAATCAAAGCTTATATAATAATGACCGATCTACATCCGGTTCAGCTCCTGAAAAATTAGTTGTTTTAGCCTAGGCAAGTTGAGAGTTGAATTTAGAGCTGAACAAACAGTTTGCGTCTCAACTTGGGGGTTGAAGTTGAAGAGGTCCAATCGTCAAATTCAATGTATGTATGCTGTTTTTATTCTATTGCCACTAATGAAAACTCTCCGATTATAGTTCAGGTGACTTAGCTATTTAAGCAATAGTTATAGAATTATAGCAGACATAACAAGTCTTCAATCACACAACAAAAAAGATGAACTTCAAACAGTTTCTTTAGATGTACACATTGCCAGGAAATCCAGAAATGCTTAGGTAACCCTCTGAGGCTATAAATCAGGGATGAACAACAAACGCTGTCTTTTAACTTTTTTGTTCATGAACATGCATTTCGAAATTCTTGCAGTTAATGAGATGGAAATTGACTGCGCTTGCTTGTCTTGAAGCCACTTATCAAAAGTTTATATTCAGGAATAGAAACTGTAAATGCCAGTTGAATGGAGCTCCTTCAAACACAGGTGTCACTGTCCTGGGGTCGTAGTTCGCATTTTGTGTTCTTCTTTGAAGGTTTAATTTGCTGGGGTAATCCCAACACGGGATGTCATATTATATGCATTTATTTCGATGTAACTTTCTTGGTCACTAATTTATAGGTTGCATACAGCTATTGCCTTAGCAAATTGGGTTGTATCTTATGCTCAAATGTCATGGATTTTCTTTATTGGATACTTTTTCTTTCTTGTTAAACCGGGCTTGGACCTTTCACAGGCAGAGAAAAAGAAACGTAAAGCTCAGTTGCAAGAAGCCAAGAGGAAGAAAAACATAAAAAGGATAGAGCGAAAGATGGCTGCAGTCGCTAGGGAAAGAGCCTGGGCAGAAAGACTTGTGGAGTTACAGCGGCTTGAGGAAGAGAAGAAGAAGACAGCCATGGCTTGACATGTTCTTCCTTGCAAACTGAAAAAACTATTTTGGCATTGCTGCATAAAACTATTCTACCATAAAAGTTGGAATGTTGAGCCTAGCTTCCCCACTCTTTTCTCCGTTACAGCTCTACTGATATTATGTTAAAAAAAGATTATCACTGAACCACACTCTGAAATTGTGTCCATTTTTGGTTTAAAAGCCCAAACCAACACAGATAGACATTAATTTTCACCTTTATTCGTAATCTGTTGTAAAAAAACAGTAGAAGCATTATAACTTAAAGAGTTTCATATTTTTTATGGCTGCCAGACAAATTGTTTCGAAACTTGGACAAGAACAATTAATTAAGTTGAACCTTCCGAAATAAATCTAAAGTGCACATTCGTAGTTGCCTACAATCTCAAAGGAAAAACTATTTTGGCATTGCTGCATAAAACTATTCTACCATAAAAGTTGGAATGTTGAGCCTAGCTTCCCCACTCTTTTCTCCGTTACAGCTCTACTGATATTATGTTAAAAAAGATTATCACTGAACCACACTCTGAAATTGTGTCCATTATTGGTTTAAAAGCCCAAACCAACACAGATAGACATTAATTTTCACCTTTATTCGTAATCTGTTGTAAAAAAACAGTAGAAGCATTATAACTTAAAGAGTTTCATATTTTTTATGGCTGCCAGACAAATTGTTTCGAAACTTGGACAAGAACAATTAATTAAGTTGAACCTTCCGAAATAAATCTAAAGTGCACATTCGTAGTTGCCTACAATCTCAAAGGACAGCTAACATTTAACAAGTACACAGGTATGATATGATATAGAGTCATTTTACGCGATGTTGGTATGATATGATTCATATGACTGTAGCAGAAATAAAGAGAACTCAGTGGTCTATGGGCGTGATGGATATGGGCAGCTTCCGCTTCATCTTGACTGTCGGAAAATGGATAATTTCATCTTCCTCGGCCACCCATCTGCACGGGAGAAACCAAAAAAGCATATTATTTACCATCACATAACGTTCATCTACCATTAAACACAAATTTAAACAAGCCCTGGACTTAATTTTAACATGTAATCATATCTTGGATAGGCACTACGTCTTCTGTGTCATTTTTCGACCTCTGTCATGTATGCCCTAAGAATTTCTTTCTTCATGGTCCTTGTGTATTCTGTGATTTACTAGTAGAGTTTGATGTATTCTTGATGCTTTCACATAAACAAATACCTGTACGTTGTAACAAGATGATGAAGGAAGATTGAGATTTCTAGCCTTGAGAGTTCCAAACCAGGACACAGCCTCTGTCCACCACCAAATGGTGTAAAGGTACTACTGTTTACAGTAGCTCCTGTTTTCTGCCAACACAAAACAACATATATTTTCACAATTGCACAAGATAACTTAATAATCAATTACATTTCTTTAGATTCTCCATGATACTGTTCCTACCCATGCCCTCTCCCCGGCGCGTCCCAAAAAGAAAGAAATGAAGGAAAAATGGTCCAATTCATGCAATTTCAATGAAAATGAAGAGGCAGATAATAGTGTCTAGTAATGCACAGAAGGCTTACCTCCCATCTCCATGGATCAAACTCATATGGGTTTTCATAGTTTTCTTCATCCATGTGAACAGAACTGAAGGATGCCAAGACACACCATCCTTTTGGTATCAAATAACCTGCCACAACTCGAAGAGACGAGGCTTAGATAATGAAATCAACCCCACAAACCTATTTTTAAGGTTTTAATATTACAGTATGGCATGATTCAGAAAGAAATCGTAATTTCATCCCAATTTCAAGAATGTAAGTGGCTTCACATTTCATCCGCGATCAAAATTTGAGTCAGCGTTTTGAGTAAGCGACTTTCTGGAATATATTCAACCACACAATATGGAACTGACCTTTGATTTCTACATCCTTGAGTGCTTTTCTCCAAACTGCATTGATGATATTTGCCATTCTAAGAGTCTCACTGATCACCTAATCACCAATAAGTAATAATATTGGTTAGTAGCCCCTTTTCTGATTTTCCACCTTTTATTTATTTTTATATATATGGGAATTAATTTTCATATTATATATTCTTCTGATTGACACATACATTTTGAGTAAATGACAAAGAGGTGTAATCTGTCCAAGCATACTCATCTCCAGAATGAGCCTTCACCCTTTTCAGCTCCATGTTTTCCTTCTGTCATACGAGAATAAAAACCATTACACACGCAAAAACACGATTGCATTACTGTCAGTTTCCCTGAATAAACTCTTAAAAACAGAGAAATTGGTCAAGAATTCACTCTACAACGTTAAAGGTTTCGATACTCTTTTTTCCGGGGCCCTCCCCAGGGATTTATCCCGGCAATTGTCAGAAGAGGATGCGTTTACTGTTGAGATCTCATAGAAATGTTTAGGGTTAATAGCAATTTTGGTCCTAAAAATATGTATATTTTGTCAGTTTAATCCCTAAAATATCAATTTTATTAATTTGATTCTTAAAATATTCAATCCGTGTTTAAATGATCTTTACATAGACGAACTAATCACATGTTGAGTATGTGATATCATTTGAAAAAATGACACGTGGTCATTTCCATAAAAAAAAAACTAGACGATTTATCTGATTAAGGACCAAAGTGACACAAATTAAAATTTTAAGAATTAAATTGATAAACTCAATATAATGAAGACCAAACTAACAAAATAGACATACTTTAGGGACCCTTCTTGGGCGTGACCATGAGGGTCCCCCAACTATAGAATATTCAATTTAAATTATAACTATTAACTCGAATGGACATTTTCGTCATCACAGCACTACTAAATCAAGCAATAAACCATATTGCTCTCTCTATTTGTACATGAGAGTCAGAAACGACATTGAACGAATATCATTAATGTTATATTGATCAAAATTTTAGACTAAATTAAGAGTCAAATGACATGGTAATTGACTTGAACTTCTTTATTTGGTGTTATGTCATTTGGGCAATAATAAAAACTCTAAATAATATATTGTCATGTCATTTGAACTCTTAATTTGATCAACGTAGTACTACCAAACGAATATAGTTTTATCACTAGACTATCAACTTGAGTGGTTGTCTCAATATTTATTGAATTTCACAGATAATTTAATGATTAGATCAATAAATTAAATTAATATTTTTAAGTTTATTTTCTAATAATTAAATGTCAATAGAAATCGTACGGCTGGCTAAAGTCACGACAATTTCTACTCGTCCCATGCGGGCACAAACGTACTCTTGCCCACGTGCGTGCATCCTTGTGCGTTTAATGACTTGGAAGTCAAACCTTTCCTCCTCAAAAACACAATCACATCTTAGTGACGTAGACTCGTTTGGGGTCCACCACATGCACGTGCATGCAGATGATCCCAACCGTGAATTCTAAACTATTCCAGGACTTAAATGATCGTAGCCGTTGATTTTAGAGCAACAGGAGATACATTACCACTAAATGAGCTAGAGCGACGGGGCTGTCACTGAGAAATTTGACAGCTAGGGTCATGACCATGGGCACGGAGCCCTCTCCTGGGATCATCATCTCTACGATATTCCCACTGATGAAATCCAACGGTAGACGTTGCTGGGTCTCATTTGATTCACCTGTGTCGCGTAACAGCACATCAATCGCGTCATTTGGGAAACCCTTCGCTTCTGTCTTGTCCATGGCCATTCTCCTCTCCTCCACAATCCTTTTAACCATCTTTAACAATCTTTCTTTGGCCTACATAAACCTTAAATCATAGTCACCAACTAAACAAACAAACACACACAATCCATATATATATATACACGTCTACGTCTACTTCTACTTCTACGTATACGTATATATATCCACATATATACATAGATTCGAACTAATGTTAATGATGTTATATTACCCTCAGAGATTTATATAGTCTTGTTCCCGGAAGCTTAATGGGTAAACAGATCAACCCTTTGATGAATTCTTCAAATTCTTCTTGGAGGAAGTTCATATCTTCACCAGGGCCAACGCTCATCAACACTGTGACCAGAACTTCGAAAGTGATCTAACACCCAAAGAAGAATTATGTTAAGTACTCCATTACAGTTCCATCAAAGTTACTGTTCTAAGTATATATCCTTGATACCAAAGCAAATATTGGCCGTGAGAGAGAGAGAGAGAGAGAGAGAGAGGGAGGAGAGACCTTTTTGGTTTCTTCTTGGAGGTAAATTATTGGGCGGTGGTCTTTGTCCTTCCAGGTTGACAATGAGAGTTTGACTGAGTTGTCAATGTCCCGAGTAATACGGGCTTTGAGTTGTGGAAATCTCAAGAAGCCTCCGATAAGTGCATGCACTCTCTTCTGCAGATTTCCATTCATTTGAAGAATTGAAGATTTTCCGAGTAACTCTGTGATTGATTTGGGATAGCAAGGTATGAAAACGCTGCCATGGTTCTGCAAAACCACTTTGTTCACGTCTGGGTCGGTTGACACTATTATGGGTTTCCCCAAGATATGTGTTCTGAACACTTTCCCATACCTGTAGTTTTCACCAAGCACGCGAAGAGAAAGAGAGATTCTGTTATATATTTTCTTGATTCGTTCCCCTTTCATCGGTCGAACGAACACGAAAAGAAACTGAGTGTTTATAGATCTTTTATACAAAATACTTGTATAACGAATTTTAAGTTTGATATGCTATAATGCACCATCAATTGACTAAAATTTACAATATGTTTGTTCCAATCAAGAAGAGTATCACACATACAAATATAATGAAAGAACTTAACATTGAAAAAAGAAGAATTCTTTTAATTCACTTATATCCAAAGGAGTGTGTCATAACCTAAAAAAGTAACTCAAATTTTTACAATTTTTTGAAATCAGGTTATAAGAGATTTATCTAATACTTTAATTTCAGTGTGGATGGTGTGCCTTTGATCAAACTAAAGAGAAAATTAGTCGAGGTGTGTGTAAACAGATTCGGACATTTCTAATCGTTGAACCAAAAAAAATGAGTGTATTACATGAGATATATATAGACTCTAATGTTAATGATATACCCTGTAATAATAAAAATAATAAACATTTTACTATTTTATTATTTGAAAAATTAAAATACTAGCATTACTTTGTTCTGCACTTACTAATAAAATTAATGACTCACTAATATAAAAAAAAATTAAATGTATAAAAAATTATGTTTATTATTTTTTCAAAATAGTGTTTACTTGTGTCTCTATCAAGATATAAATAAAAACAATTGTAAACATAATTAAAAAAATAGATTAGACGGGTCTAAATTGCAAATCTAGGAAAAATAAATAGCTGGTGATATAGGAAATTAGAGAGGTAAAGCTATACAAGTAGGGTTGGTGGGGTGTCCCATGATGGATGAATTGTATTTGTATCAATCTCATACCAAAGATGATGGATGGATGATCACAGAAAATGTAAATTAATAGGTGGAAAGCATGCATGATCAATCATCGTAAGCATTTGATAAGTCGCATCAATCTTGTCAGAAACAACGGAACAAAAAATGGTTTTGTTTTGTCCAATTGACCAACAAACTGTCGGTAAATGAAAACCACAGGACCTCCTCGTCAAGGAAATTGATGAAGTGATTGATTTTAAAGGTAAATATTATGATAAATTACATTTATACCTCCTAATATTTGATTTATTACACGTACACCTTTCACATTTAAAAAAATAACAGCAAACTCTCTTGACACACCACCTCCAGTTAACAGATGTTAAAGTTGTTAATAATCAAAGTGGAGGTCATTAATCATAATTCTCAAAATATCAAAAATACCCTCCAAGTTTATCCAACCTCTCATTTATTTTTTTAATCTATATATGAAATATATATATTAAAATTTAACACTTATATGTTTAATTTCTAAATACATTACATCAATAAATAAAATATTAATTTTTTTTGTGTTTATTAAATAATATCTGGTACTATTAATACAATTTCAAAAATAATCATTTTTTTAAAACCTTAATAATTACCTATTCCAATTATTTCATATTAAATTTATTTTTATTTATTATTTATCTAATTACATAAATTTTTTACTCACCATCACCACCAATTTCGCCACAATCACCATTGCCTAAACTTAACCATCGCAATAATGCATCTATCACCCAACACATCCAAACACCACCAGCACAGAGAAAGAAGAGAAACCACAACTCCATGGAAACTACCTTCGCCTCCACCATTGAAACAACCACCTAACCATAACCTATCATCAATCATCTCTGTACATGACCCTTCTCTTACACAATATCACCATTATCGTTACCAACTCAGTAACACGCACCAACAATCACCACCACCACCACAACAAAAACACCCATCACTACCACCACCACAAAAATGCCTCAGAACTGCAAGACAGAGAGGAGTTAGGGTTTTAAAATCTGTGAGATCCTGGTATCCCACATCGGTTACGGAGGGGGGAGTTGCTGGGCTTATAAGTAAGCCTTCAGCCCTTACCTTGCAAGAGGCCTTTTCCTAGGGAACCCCTGGGAGGAACAAACCCTTGAGGGCAGGGGAGGAGAACGGTGTTCCGTGACCCTGTGCCAAAGAGGACAATATCTTGCTGGGTAGTGGGGGGGTGTTACAAAATCACTCACCATTGCCTCAAATCTAAAAGACAAAAAATTAATGAATATTCCATTTATCAATCCAAAATTGCCCACATTCATCATTAACACTATCACAGTTAACCACCACCCACTGCCGCCTCTACACAATGAAAACGACCACCAAAATTTTCTGAAAATCACCTCTTCCTCCTCTTCCTCTCTCTCTCTTTCTCTCCCTCTCTCTCTCTCTCTTGTACACACAAAGCACCACCATTGCCCTGTAACGGAGTAACCCCATCACCAGTCTACCACCACCATCTCCATTTTCTCCTCCACAACGACACAACACACACACACAACCATCACAGTCCAACAACCCCACCACATTCTTCTCCTTCACCTCCATTTCCAACTCCTCAACTACACTACACACAAACCCAACAACCACCAATAAAATCGAACCCCTATAATCATCCAGGCATATTTTTTAATTTTTTGGATCCTTTTGATTTCTCTGATCTTCACATCAAATCCTTTTGATTTCTTAGATTTGGATGGGGTGGCTATTGGAGGGTATTGCAATGGTGGGTGAAGGGCAAGCAAGCTTTTGCGATTTTGGGTTGGTTCTGGGAGGGACAAAATAGTATTTTTATCAAGGTCGTTAACTCTGTCTAACTATTGGGGTCTCAATATAATTTTTTTAATGTGAGGGAGTGTCCATATAATAAAACCAAAAGTCAGGGAACGAGTATAATTTATCCCAAATATTATCATAACATAACTGGATGCTGCGTTAAAAATAAAAACTATTCCGATAGTAATACAAAACATGTGTTTTTAACGGGTTTTTTTCATTTTTTTTTACTCCACCCTTACATCTAAGGATGATAATTGGTGTTGTTTTCGACCTGTATTATTTTAAATTGTGTCAATTACTAATTAGTTTTAATGAGGACAAAATACATTTTTAGTCTCTAAGTAGTCTACAGTAGTATATTTGATCTCTAAGGTTTTTAATTTATATATATGTGTGTGTGTGTGTTTGTGATTTATGTTCTTTTGGTAGGAAAGATAGAAAAGTAAAAAAGATATAAAGTAGGAGAGATACATTTTTTATCCTTCAAAAGTAGGAATGATACACTTTACTTCTTTTGTGTTTGGTAGGATGGATGAAATATAAAAATAATTAATTTTTTTTTATGCTTGGTAAGATGGAAAAAATATTTTTTTATAATTATAATTATAATTATAATTTTTAAAAAAAATATATAAATACATATTTTATCATTGTGGGTGTATATATATATATCAAACGATATATAGACAAATAAAATACATTTTACCATAAAATTAATTTTTCATCCAATTTATTTCAAATTTGGAGAATTAATTTTAGTGAGTTAGAAGGAAAACTCAACAATTTATTTTTTTATCCTTCCTATTTTCCTTTCTAACCAAGCATGATATTTTATCTATCATTCTATTTTTCTATCATACCAAATTGAGCATTAATCTTAAACGTTCATAAAAAAAATTGTTAACTTCCCTAATCACGCGCCAATCTTGTGGGACCAAAAAGACATAAATTATAAACTTTAGAGATCAAATAGACACAAATTAAGAACTTTAGAGCCTAAATAAATATAAAATTAAGAACCATGTGATTGACGTGTGATCAGAACCGTCACGATTTTCGGATGAACGTTTAGGATTGAATCACTTAAATAAAATTAAGAATCTTAGAGATCAAATAAACACAATTGAAAGGTTAAAGACTGAATTAACATTAAACACATACTTCAGGGACTAAAAATTTATTCTACCTTTTAATTATCTTAACAATCGCTAGCTATTACGAATATCCAAAATATTCCAAACATAAAAAAAAAAAAAAATGTCATCAACGAACCATGCTGGGATTTATGGTTTGAGGAGAAAGCAAAATTTCAGATGGAGGCCTTATTTCACGCCACAAAAAAAAAAAAAATTTAAAAGTCATTTCGTCTTCCTTTTCAGTCCTAAAGAAACAAAATGGCGTAAAAAACAACAATTTTTTTTTTTACCTTATCATTTTTTTATTTTCTTATGTTAAGACAGATTGTAAATAAAATTTTTTTGAAAATGGATGATGCATAGGCGACTCCTGTGGAGTCCACCACCAAGGGCGAAACAACCGCCTTAGAGAGCGGTAGAGCCGCCACATTTCTGGTGGCTTAGCAAAAGGAAAGGCAAGAGAGAGAGAGAGAGAGAGAGAGAGAGAGACTTACAGAGACTTGCGTTTCTCCATGAAGCTGACAGGTCGAGAGGTGTTACCACAGGCTATGAAGTCGAGAGTTTCTCCTATAAAAGGCAAACCTGAGCTCCCTCTTGGAATCCCACTCTTATTTTCTCTCTCCTCCTTGTTTCTTTTCCTCCTATACAAACACCATCCTACAAAAATCATTACACCAATCAAAACCCAACTTCTCAATACCCAGGTCATTTTTTTAATTAGTTTTTCACCCAGGAAAACTTGTATCTCTCAAAACACATCCAAACCCTAGTTTCTTAAAAGATCACCAACACCAATACATGGTTCTCTCTTACAGCCTCTCTGTCTCTCATGCAGTTCTGTACATTCCACCCGAGAGGGATGTAGGGAGAGAAAGAAGGAGAGACTTCTGTTTGTCTTGTTCAGTGAATTGAATAAGGGATGAGAGGAGTAAATTAAAGGGTATTGATTGTGAGATTCGGAAAATCTAGAGCTTGGAATTGTCAATAAATGAGAAAGATTCATTCGGGTGTATCAACTGTGCCACGCTCATTGATCTTGTCTCCACTTCACTTTATCAGACTAAGATCACTAGCCTTTCCTTGTAGCCCTACCTATCCTATCTATATCTATTCAATTCTTTTTCCTTCATTTTTTAATAAAAAATATATTGAAAGATATCTCAGTCTCCCACTATCACCATAAATTACTCATAGACCTTTATAATAAAATAAAATATTTATTTCAAAATTTTATTAAATAAAAAATAAAAATATAATACACAAATTAATTTCTCAGTACCATATCAAAATTTATCCCAACCTTTAATTTTAGTTTAAATAATTTGGGACCATTGATAAAAAAAAAATTAAGTAATAAAATAGTAGAACTTTATAAATGTGTCAAAAAATTATTTTTGTGACACCATGGTTTCACCCATTCTCTAATGGCTCTTTCTTTTTCATGGTTTAATTTACCCTATACAAAGTGCCACATAACCTTTGATAAATTACAAAACTCAAACTAACTTTTCATGAGCAATGTATTCAAGCTTCATCCACATCAGGGATAAATCACCTAAGTTTGAGTCCATAAATAGTGATAATTTCTCATTGAAGACTTCTTGTTGCTGTGGCTCCAACTGGTTCCATTAACCAAGGCACTCTATGAGTCAGTCGACTCATTATTCAACAAGCATGCATTCAGGAGCCATGAGCCTCTTCTATTGCTTGGGATTTTACAGTTTCATATTTTATTTTACTCCCCAATAGAGGTTATTTTTAACCTTCCTTTACGGTACTATTTCACTATAAGTTAATAATCATTTGATCGAATCCAAAACTAACTGCTAAATACAATCAAACTTACTTTAATTTAACATTATATTTATTTATATTTGGTATGCCTTAAAATTTTGGGGTTTAATATAATAATAAAAATGATTTAGCTTTTTTTTTAAATAGTGGAGGTTATCTCTCACACTAAAGATTCACTCTAATCATTTAATGTTAGATTGGGCAAAAAAAAAAAAAGAAAGAAAGAAATGATGCAAAGTTAATATGGTAAACAAAATTTGAATGAGTAAAAAATATAACAAAAATACCACAATGAGAATGTTACATTATTTTTTTTTTTATCTTATTTTTAGTCAATCTTTTATGCATCAGTAGTATTGCCTCTAGTGTGAAAAACAGAGGTAGAGTGGAAAAGCATCTTAGGAAATAGAGGAGAAGAAAAAAAAATTATGGTTTTTTTAAACTTTAACAAAAAGTTCTGATAAAAAAAAAACTTTAACAAAAAGTTGGGAAAAAAACAGTGCCTGAAAGAATGTGTTCACTCCTTTTGCATACTCAAATCTTATCCTTAACCCTTTTGAATTGTCCCTTGACCCCTCGAGTGGTAATTGAGATTGAACAATAAATTTAGATATTTTAAATTTGAATATTGATAATTTTTTAGAGTCAGGTTACGAAAAATTTATTCCTCACAAATGTTCTAGTTTCGTCATGAATGACCTCTCTTTAACCGGACTAAAAAAGGGATTAATTGATATATGCGTAAACTGACTTGAACATCTCTTACTGTTAAAAAAAAAAAAACTTTTCCTTGAATTAATGTGCCAATGGAATTAAATGTCTCTGCTATTCACATTTGTATGTTTTTCCAGTGTTTAATTATGAAAAACATAATTTTTGATATTATACCTCGGCTTTTAGTCAGATAAAAATGAGATAATTTGTAAATTATTTTATTATTTTTATAATTAACGACTACAAATTCTTCAAATCAAGATTTACGACTCTAATTTAATTTTAGTACAGTTCCAAAATTGTTTTTGAAGATACCATAGTTTTATCCCTTTGTTAGAGATTATGATCCTCTCAGAACTGTTAACTTTAAGAAAATTTATATTTAATTTATAAATTTTAAAATTAATATTCATATTTAAATACGAAATTTAATATTTAAATTACAAATGTCACTGCGCAGGAGCTTGAACTTGAGCTTGAGCATATGTGTTTGCTTGCATGGTCGAGTGGGCGCCGAATCGTCACCCTCCTTTGACTTTCTCTTTTCTGAGCTTCTCTAGCCCAGCCATAGAAAAAAGCCTCGTCCTGTCGATATCACTCGCCAGTACTCTTCACACCCATCACGTCTCTCTTTCTCTCTCTCTCTCAAACACACATACTTGTGTACATACATGCCAACCTCGAGATACGACCCCTTCGGTGGGATAAAACAATGGTACTCACGAAAAAAGATCTTTATTTTATCACAAGTGATTGGTACTATATCATCTACTTACATTTATGGTAATGAATCATAAAAATAATAAAATAAACTGATTTACACATTATATTTGAAATAAATGAAAAAAAAATCTAATATCTTCTTTTTTTTTTCATTAAAAAGTCATAATTCTCATCTTAGCTTTGAGTGGTACGAACCACCTTACCCTACCAACCTATAGGCGATCAATCTTCCTAAAATTGTCAAAAATCGAAGTCCAATGATCTTGAATGAAATTAATAAATCGGTGTATAAAATCTTACGGACTTAGTATATTAGACTACGAGTTTTATTATGAACTAATAAGTCAAAATTAATATATAAAAAAAGCATCCTAATTATTAAGTCAATCATAAGAAAATTGACACACATATATGACTTTACGTAAATATTTCTTGAAAATCTCCAACAATGATAGGTTTAATCTTTTAAATCTATAATCGAACCCATAGATCCAACTTGAGAGGATTCAAGCTCCTTGGAACCGATGGATTCGCTTAGAGCAAGATAAATGATGAAATTTAATTTTAAGTAGTGTTATTGGAGGAACGTAACTTGGATACCTCAGATAATTAGATCAACAATGGATCTGAATACAAGAACAAGACTGAGGAGATAACGTCCGCATCATCTGTCTAATCTAATCTACCAACTAGTGATGGAGCCAATGAGAAAGCAACATCCTTGTGTCGGTGTCTTGATTGAGCAAACAAAGGACATTGAAGAGATTCTCCTTGAGATACAGAAATGAGAGAGACGATCTTTGTGTCGGTGTTTGCATCCTTTATGTAATCTTTTTCCTCGTTGCAATCCCTCTTTTGTCTCTCTATGGAACGAGTTTTGCAGCAAGAGCATCCATACAAACCGCATCAATTTGGTAGATTTTCGGCCCAATAGTAAGCATACTCAACCTTGACAAGACGGTCACCCAGCAAGGCAAAAACCTATCTTGTGACAAATAAATAAATATGTAGCAATGACCCTAAAAAGCGGCTTGAATTTTAAGTTCTGATCGCACAAGTGAGAGCTGCTTCATGCGTAAGGCTGTAAAATGAGCTCAATTTAGTTATACCAAGAGCTTCTCCAAAGAGTGATGCTCTTGTAGATTTTAATATACGAACTTCTACATAGTCGCCAACTTTTGGATTCCGCTTCCCATCATTATCAACCTGATCTGGAACTGGCAGAATGGGAAATGATACCCTATGGCCTCTATCGCTCTTGCCAATGAGCTCCGTGTCAGGAGCTCTCTTGTTGGGTCCTTCGACCAACACAAGTTGAACAGTACCAATTTGGGAGTTGAAACATTGCCCAGTACTCTCCCGAAAAGCCTGAATGAGTTCCGTCAGCCTCCTCTGCTTTATCTCATCAGGAACGTCGTCAACATAGTTCCTGTGGGCGTGGGTTTTCTCCCTCATGCTGTATGCAAACATGTATGCCATATCATAACCAACAGCCTTTACGAGGCTTAGTGTGTCTTTGTGTTCCTCCTCAGTTTCACCGCAGAAGCCTGTACAAAAGGATCAATGTATTAGGGGACAAGTTAAATGATAATATATAGTATTGGGCAGATCATCTTAATCTCAAGGAACAATTGAGTAATGCATCTTAAGTAGTCTAATTGGATGAGTGCATGGTACATTTGCAATGTCAGGAGCAAAATGTTTTCGTCCTTATCAATGAAAAGCAACACTGTCCTAGTAAATGGCAATCCAATCCAATATGTTTGTGATAGTTAATCTCTTCTGATTCTGAGCCAATAAGATCCTCAAGGCCTTCACAACAAACTATTCAAAGAGCACCTTATAAGTTTTTTAAGACTCTCAGCATATCTGTATTACCCAACAAACAGAATTAATGGAATGTCTTTCATGCTAAAGCTCAGGAATCAACGAAAACAGTATTAGGGGTAGTCTTACCACATATGAAATCACTACTTATCCCCATATCTGGAATTGTACTCCGTATCTTTTGCACAAGGTCTAAGTATGCTTCTCGGGTATATCCCCGACGCATTCTTTCGAGAACTGTACTGCTCCCTGTTTGTGCAGGCAAATGGATATTTTTGCAGATATTATATCTATCACGCATTACATAGAGCAACTCATCCGGAAAATCTTTAGGGTGCGGAGAAGTGTATCTGAACCGCATCTCTGGGAATTCTGTTGAAAGTCTGTCCAAGAGATCAGCAAAGCGTAAACCCATTTTTTTCACCTTGCACATGCTGGAAAATCCTTCACTATACTTCCAATCGACTCCTGATTCAACATCTGTTTCAGCCATCGACATATCATTGTAGCTATTCACATTTTGACCGAGAAGTGTTACCTCTTTCACGCCTTCTTTCCAAAGCTCCTCCACCTCTTTCACAATTGATTCCACAGGACGAGACCGCTCCCTGCCTCTAGTGAATGGAACAATGCAAAATGAGCACATATTATTGCAACCCCTCATTACAGAGACGAAAGCTGCGATTGAATTTTTAGAGATACGAACTGGACTGATATCAGCATAAGTTTCTTCAAGGGAAAGAAGAGTGTTAATCCCTTTTTGACCATAATCCACCTCTTCTAACAATCGTGGCAAGTCCCGATAAGCATCAGGGCCGCAGACAACATCAACCATCTTGTCTGCATCTAATATCTTATCCTTTAACCTCTCAGCCATACACCCCAGCACAACTACTTTTGGAGGATGGACAGACTGTGACCTTCCTATAGTGACATTGCTCTTCCAGTGCCTTTTCAGAAACCAAAAATAATTAAGCCTCTGCCATACTCTTTGTTCCGCATTATCCCTGATCGCACAAGTATTGATGAAAATGATCTCTGCACTCTCTGGAGCCTCCACAACTTCACTATATCCAGCTTTCTTCATGATAGATAAGACAATCTCCATATCATTGACATTCATTTGACATCCATAAGTTTCATGATATATACGACCTCTGGGGGGAACTTCGGAAGCGGATACAGGGCTAGACAGTGAAAAAATAAAAGTGAAAACGATGCGTTTGACTTTGCAGAATTCGTAACACAATGACACCATAGAATGTACATTATTAACTGTCCAACCAAAAGTTTTAGCATGACCAATCAATAGATATACTGCAACAATCTACCTAATTCATATATTACACATGCCACCACACCAAGGTATCATATCCATGGAATATTATTTCCATTCAAATAAAGGTAACAGATGCTGAACAGATTGATCCACAAATTAAGCCAATAATTCCCAAAGAAACCTCAGATATTTGCAAACTAACCGACATCAGGATTCAAATTTCACAATTATTCAAAAATGTTTTAGTCTTTTAGGCCAAAAGTTGTCAAGGATCCATAGAGAGATCATAAAGCAGCATGTTCTGGAGCTTTTCATGATGCTGCTTTAACACACAGCAAATAATTTTGAAGGCACGGTAACAAGGCATAAATTTTATACATAGGAAGTGGGACCATGGAGATATAACGTTTAAAGAAGTAAGGAAGTGGCCATCATTGAATAGGTAAGTAGACTGGAGCATGGCAATAACAGAAACAAGGACACAAGAACATACAGCAGAAGCATATGGATCTTTTGGGGGATATTAAGGTTTTGTCTTGGGTAGGATGTAGGCAAAATAAGGAGTTACTTTTAAAATCAACTAGGAAAAACCAAGTATAATCTCAGTCTATTGCAAACCTATCACCAAGATGAATTTAGATAGATTTACCTCAATAATGTTTAACAAGAAATTCAAGGTTGAGGACAAAAGTCATCTACGGGGACAGGGAGCTTGTAAAATGTCATGGGCAGTGGGAAGCTAGTAAAGTGTCTTAAACGTCAAATTGACAGTACAAAACATTTTAACTTTCATAGATAGTCCGTAATTGAGTAAAGTAAGCTACGTGCCTCAGAACTTGTTTATGCCACACTACATCATCAACCAGTTTCAGATGCCACATCCCATAATCCCATCTCAGCCATTGCCTTAAAAATAATAATTCTACACTTACCTGTTCAGAAGCAGTACTTTTCGTACATTGAGCTGGTTCGCTGCTAACTCTATATTCAACAATAAGAACGCTTGTGCCCACTTGCATGTATTTATCTAGGTATATATGCATATATGTTGGAAGGAATATTAGGAAAGAGCTCTGCTTACTAAAAATAAATAGATATGAGTTACTAGTGTTTCGGCTGTTAAATGTAATTGATGAAGGACAAGTATCTATGACTTTAAAAATAAAACCATAGAAAGAGAGTCTGATTTTGTAAAGCTAGAGAGCCTTGAACTTTTCTTTGAATATTAAATACCCTCAGTGAAATTTGGTAAATTTAGTTGGAAGCAAGAAATTTATTCTTGGTCTAGATGCATAAATTAACGTAGCTTGGTCTTAACATTTTTTGTTTTTTGGTCATTGATGAGACTTTTCTGAAATGCTCCAAGAAGAAGACACGTGTCTCGGCGTTACTAAAAATCCTGTTACTGAGATCACGTACCATCGGCTTACAAACTCCCTCGCCCCCGAGGTACTTGACACGTGGTCAAGAACGTTTTACGAACCGACACGTATCCCTCGGTCTGATATGGTACCTCGGTCGTCATGTACAGCTTCCCTCGGCTCGAGATGAACCCTATCCTCGGTACCAAGATGTACCTATCCTCGGTACCGAGATGTACCCCGTCCAGGATGCCTTTTTCTCTGCTCCAGTATAAGCTATTGATGTACAGGTCATTAGCCTAGGCTAGTCTGGATTAGCTATCATGGTCTCGTCTTACACAATTGGTGTCAGAAGGAACAGGAAGGCAGGGTCCACAGCCAATGAGGGATGGACGCGTGGCAAATTGTGTCACATCAGAGACAGAAAGACCGCATGCCCTTACTGACACGCGACTTGGGAAAGCAAACATTTAATTACACCATTCCCTTGATGAGACCGCATTCAATGCGGTAAGGCTCGGAATTGAAAGGCAATAAATGTATCTAAGGCTGGGCATTTATTGCATCCTCCCCGAGTGGAGATCATTAGACAGTCGGCAGCCCGATGACACAGCATTGATTGCTCGGGACTCTGAGCAGTTAAAGAAGAGAAGACATTCCTCATCAGAATCAGTGTGCACACTGCCTGTACCTAATGATCATCTACTGACAACACTGACAGCAATCATGAGCTTTTGAGGTATAAATACTCCTCGTAAAAGGCAAAACGGTATGCAACAAAAGAACTCTTTACTACGAAATATACTCAGTGCTTTCTTCTTCCTCTCCCTTTCAAAAACTGACTTGATCGTCGGAGGGGATAAGCTGGAAAACACTCCGGCATCCTTCTAACTTGTTCTTCTTTGTTCTAGGAACCTTTCTCCAGCCCTACTGGATCATTCCTTCAATCCACGAGGGTCTCCCGTTGCCGTTCCAGGTCACCACCGGACCTCACAGGCTGTCTCAAGTAGCGTGGTTGACCACTCAGCTGACTCACTCGAGTTCACCAAGGGAGAGATCTGTTCTTGTTTTTTATATTGTGCAAGATCCTGCACGCACAATCTGGCGCCGTCTGTGGAAAACAACTAGTTTTCCTAGTTTTTTCTTTATAAAGAACAGTGACCATGGTGAACACTCGACAAAAAGGGAAAGGTCCCCATCAAAGAAGTCTCGAACTACAGGCTCCCTGTCACCACGGAGGAAGGGATCACACTGACGGGAATAAAAATGCCTCCACTCAGTCAAGAGGGGTTACCCCTCAACCCAGTATGGGAATTAGGTCAGGGGGATCAGCCCCCCTGGCTCGTCGGCTGGCGGAAGTAATCGAAAAAAGTTTGGCGATAGATTACGACAGCTGGAAAAGGACAATGTAAACGTCCTAAGCCGGCTCAACGAATTCGCCGCCTCCGGCGAAGGGTCGATGGACTCATTCCTCTCTCGTGGGCTCCCCGCCCGGGAGGCGGAAACGAAGGATCTAAGGAATCATCTAAACAACAAGGCAGAGAGCTCCCGGGCTCCAAAGCGACCGAGAGCCAACGGGCACCTTCCTAACGACCATTCAAGGAAGGCAAGACCATTAGCCCTGGACGACCTCCGGCGAGGGTTGTCTAGACGGAGGGAGGGGGATGAGTCCGAGGAGGATTCTACCCTATCCGCACGGGGCCCAGGAAATGAGGGGCCCATTGATGAACTCAAGGACTTCAGAAGACATCCCGTCAGGGAGGAAATTGATCTCAGAGCCCGGCTGGAATCCAGGAGAAAGAGTAAGGTTGTCCAAGATGAGGTCGAAGACGAGGTCATACAAACACCCTTCACCAGGGAGATCGGAGAGATGGAGGTTTCAAGAAAGTTCGTCGTGCCGAGGTTCAAAACTTATGACGGGCGGTCCGATCCCGAAGCCCATCTCAGGCAATACAAGCAGATGATGTCCCTCTATCATTCGGACCAATGGTTTCTCTGTCGAGTGTTTCCAATGAGCTTTGGGGACTCTGCGATGAAATGGTTCGAGGCGCTTCCCCCAAACAGTATTAGGTCGTGGAAGGAATTGACGAGGTAGTTCCTGGCTCGATTCATTACGGGGAGTAAGCGCCCCAAAGACGTTGGATCATTGCTGACCCTCAGACGTAGGGAATCTGAGACCCTTCGCCAATATGCCATCCGATACTGGGAAGAGGTTAATGAGATAGAAGGTTGCTCGGAAGTCATGGCAGCGGCGTCTTTCCGGCTCGGCCTGGCGAGGGACACGGACCTGTACCGATCCCTGACCAAGAAGACTCCCTCGGATATGGGGGAGCTGATGGCCCGGATAAACAAATACTCAAGGATCGAAGACGAGATAGGAAGCAGCAAAGGCCGAACCCTGCAATCTAAAAGAAAAGAGAGGGAGCGGGAAGATACTCCCCGAAGGGGTTGCTACCCCCTCCAGGGGGTTCGTCCAAAGGAGTTCACACTATGTTCAAAGAACCCATCTTCAAGTTGCTCCATAAGATCAAGCACGAGCCGTTCTTCAAATGGCCGCCCAGGATGCAGAGCGATCCCTCCACCCGTGATCAAAGGGTTAGGTGTTCCTATCACCGGGATTTCGGACATCGCACCGAAAGCTGCAGGGTGTACAAATCGTTCTTGGAAAAATTGGTCCGAGACGGATACTTGAAAGAATACATAGAGCCCAGGCCAGAAGAAGGACACACCATTGCCCCGACCGAGGAACCAGACAACGTCATAGATGTCATCCATGTATGTCCCCTGGATCGCCCCACGTCCAAGGAACTCGAGTCCGACCTCAAGAGGGTAGCTTTTACAAGGAAGGTAGCCGAGGATGATGGAGGGCCACCCAGTAAAAGGGCCAGGACTGGTGAGCCAAGCATCACGTTCTCGGACGCGGACTTGACAGGCGTAGTGACTCCTCATAACGACGCTCTTGTCTTGACCCTGAAGATAGGAAAATTCGACGCCAAAAGGGTGTTGATAGACTCTGGAAGTTCCTCGGAAGTGATGTACTCCGAGACTTTAAAACGGATGGGTCTTGGCCTCAAGGACCTCACCAAGGTCAGAACACCTCTCATCGGATTCAACGGCTCGTTCGCCCTGCCCATAGGCAAAATCACATTGCCAGTTGTCACGGGTCCCTTCGTCATCAACACCGAGTTCGTCGTAATTGATACGGACTCTCCCTACAACGTGATCATGGGGCGAACATGGCTGCATGCGTTGGGAGCGGTGCACTCCACCTACCACCAGAAACTAAAATTTGCCACGCCAGAAGGTATCATAGAGATCCGGGGGGACCAAGCGTCCGCAAAAAATTGTTTTTATTCAGCCGTTAGAGCCGGGGCGTTCACCCAAGAAAAGGGACGAGCACCGGAAGAGATCATGAAAAAATAGCAATCACAGTCTGGGCGTCCAGGAATGGATGACCCCCGGATAGACCCAACTGAGCGGTCGGTAGAGGACCTCCGGAAGGTGCCCTTGATGGAGGGAGAAGAAGAAAGATATTTCTTAGTTGGAACTGCAATGCCCGCAGCCGAACAGGAGGAGATGATTGAGTTCCTAAGGGGAAATGCGGACGTGTTCGCTTGGAACGCAATGGAAATGACGGGGGTAGACCCCGAGATAATCACGCACAAGCTGCATGTTGACCTAACGCACAAACCAGTCAAACAAAAGCCACGACGCATGACCCCGCATCACGCCTGCACGGTCAACGAAGAAATCGACAAACTCCTGAAGGCCAACGCTATTCGGGAGATACAGTTCCCAGAATGGCTATCCAATACGGTTTGCGCGAAGAAGAAGGGGGGGAAATGGCGTGTCTGCGTGGACTTCACAGATTTAAACAAGGCATGTCCCAAGGATGACTACCCCCTACCAAAGGTGGACCAGCTAGTGGATGCCACTGCCGGATATGAACGCATGGATTTCCTGGACGCCCGAGCGGGATATCACCAGATCCCTCTCCATCCCCCAGATCAGGAAAAAACGGCGTTTATCACTCCAAAAGGAGTTTACTGTTACAAAGTGATGCCGTTTGGACTAAAGAACGCTGGGGCGACGTACCAAAGACTGATGAACCGGATGTTCAAAAAGCAGATCGGCAACACCATGGAGGTCTACATTGACGATATGCTGGTAAAGAGCAAACGAAGTTGTGATCATCTGGCAGATTTGACCGATACCTTCTCCACCCTCAGGGAGTACGGGCTGAAGCTGAACGCGGCAAAGTGTGTTTTCGGAGTGGAATCGGGTAAATTTCTCGGATATCTGGTCAGCCAACGAGGGATCGAAGCTAACCCGGATCAGATTCAAGCGATCCTGGACATCCGGAGCCCCCGAACTGTCCGAGAAGTCCAGAAGCTCATGGGGATGCTAGCAGCACTTAACCGTTTCGTCTCACGCTCCTCAGACAAATGCAAACCCTTTTTCAGAGCAATCAAGAGTGCTGGGAAGGATATGTGGAGCTAGGGGTGCGAAGACGCCCTGGCTGGAATCAAGGAATATCTGAGGACTCTCCCGACCTTATCCGTCCCCATCTAGGGGGAAATGCTCTTCTTGTACTTGGCCGTGTCTGAATTTGCGGTAAGCGGGGTACTTATTCGTGAGCACGAGCACCTCTAGAAGCCGATTTATTACATAAGTAAGGCGCTCCTGGACGTGGAGACAAGATACCTGCCCCTAGAGAAATTGGCTCTATCCCTGGTCTCCACTGCAAGAAAACTAAGGCATTATTTCCAGGCACACCCAATTACCGTCCTTACCGATCAGCCTTTAAAGGCCATTTTGAGGAAAGCGGAGCTCTCCGGGAGGGTTTTCAAGTGGGCAGTGGAGTTAGGGGAACACGACATTCATTTCAAACCTCGAACTACAGTAAAGGGTCAGGTATTGGCGAATTTTATAGCTGAGTTTACCGGGGAGCATCCCGTTCTAGAAAGACCGCCTCCTCTCGACATAGCCTTTTCAACGAATTGTGAAAGATCGCCATGGCTTTTGTGTGTGGACGGTTCGTCAAATAGTAAGGGGTCCGGGATCGATATCTTGCTGATCTCTCCAGATAGGATTGTGCAAGATCCTGCACGCACAGTCATAATTCTTAGTTTTGTGTAACTGCTCCCAAGTTCGATGCTCTTCAACCTCTAATCTTACTACACGATAGTAGGTTCATAGCATCCTAATTCTACCGGACCCCATGACCAACTCACATTTCTATGCGATTCTTCACTGCAGAAACATAAAAACAAAACAATTCTTCAATGCATAAACATACACACACAACACAATTCTTCACAGAAGTAGCACATTGACGTTGTAGATGATTCTTGAAGGAAGACGCCAGTTCCGAAATTCCACAGAATAAAATGGAACACAGTTGAAAAGGTGTTCAATTCGCTATAGAGACGAAGTGAGAAGTGAAAACTTACCCAGCCTGCATATCGGATGCGGTGACTGCGGCTTGAGCAATGAATTGGTGGAGGCTCGGAATTTCGGAATTGTAAGAGAGAGGAAGGTGAGATAGAGACTGTGAAAAGTTTCTGGATAGGTCTAAATAGAAGGCAGTCCTCTTGACCGGCCGTGATGCGCGGTGGTGGTGGTGGTGGTGGACGCCGTATGAGGTGGATTGGGTTTTTGAGGACAGAAGTCTGACATTGATGAAACAGCATTGTCGTTGGAAATTGATGCGGAGGGCGCAGTGGGAGATGGAGGAGAGAGAAGATACCGAAGAAGCCATGGAGGAGAGAGACGGACGGAGATGGCTTCTGTTGATAGTTGGATAGGGCTCTGAACCTGAAGAAGTGAGAAGGGTCGATCGAAATGTCGGGCTTAGGTCCCACGGCCCAGCATTGGGAAGACCCGACCCTAATATAGAAGAGGGTTATGGACCATATGGTTAATTTTGAAGTCATACAAAAAGTTCGCGTTAAGAGTCTATACCCGAAAAGACGGTTTGACCAAAAGCTAAGAACGGCCTAACTTGGGATTGACAGTAGTAATCGAGGGCGTAATGGTAATTTCGGAAGCACGAAAGTCTAATTCATTTCAAACAATCAGACTTCGCATGTGATCTTCGGAACCAGCCTGCAAATTCAACAGCAGGAGTGAGTCGGATGACAATGGAGAAGTGGAGAGCCGCGCATCGTCTGCTTAGATACTCCTCTAAGAACCTCTTCGATCGTCAATTAAACCCTAATTTTCGGAATTCAACTCACTTGTCCACTTCAGGTCTCAATAAACATGACGATCATACACATATGTTGCCTTCATTCGATAACATACATTAGGCATTTCTATCTTGATACGTAACTACCTGTCTTCTGTAAATTTCAATGATTTATCAGAAATCAAATGAATTATATACGCTGTTTTTAATTACAGGCATGGCGTATAATATGAATAGATTTGTTGGAAATCTTTGGGGAGTGCATTGTAGGTGTTTAAGTTCAGTGGTGACAGCAACTCAGAGGAATCCATTGTTCTCGACCATAAATTCTGATGATATCAGGTATTTTAAGGAGATATTAGGGGAGAAAAGTGTAATTCAGGACGAAGAGATGTTGGATGCTGCAAATTCGGATTGGATGCGGAAGTACAAAGGCTCAAGTAAGCTTAAGCTCCAACCTAGGAGCACTGAGGAGGTTCATATCTTCATTTTTTTTTCTTTTCCTTCAAATTCTCTGTCTACTTGTCTTCCTTAGTCTACACCTGATTATTATTTGATATTCAGTTTCATGGGGTTTGAAATCCTCCAGTGTTGGAATTAACACTACCCTTCAAATATATATACATGTTTGATTTGAAGAAGTTCCCAATTTATGCAATGCTTCATTTAATTCAAAGTGGTGGGCACTTTCTGTGAACTTTGTGTTACATAGAATGTTGCTTTATTTCTGCATTACAGAGCTACCTTTTATCTATATCTCTTAATTACTCACAGAACTTGCTTACCTTTCCATGCCATTTGTTACTGCTGCTATTGTTGTTGTGCCACATTCCCTAATGCAGGTTTCTCAGATTCTTAAATACTGTAATGCAAGATGCCTTGCTGTTGTTCCCCAAGGTGGAAACACAGGTCTTGTGGGAGGCAGCGTGCCTGTATTTGATGAGGTAATATAGTTGGCCTCTTGTGATCTATGACCTTTCATGTGAAGTGGTCTGGCTGTGGCAACTATTGTTGGTGCTGAATTAGGCTGTCAGTCCTTTTTGGTAGAGAGCTTCGTTTTGTTCTATACACATTAAATAAAACAGGCTGTTCATGACGCTATTAAACCTGCTATTTACTTCATTTTTGGGTATTTCATACTAGAAACAACGAGAATGCGCACCCCATTTTTTTTTTTTTTTTTTGCACACTTTAAAATTGACGTAAATTTTAAAGTTCTATTATACATGCAGCTTTATCAGGATGGTGGGTTCCCCACTTTCAATGGTTTTAAAACCAAATTTCCGCCACTTCTTTCTGGTAAACAATTATTGATAGATCTCTAAAAGTAAGACTTGAGGGCAAAAAATTTATTGCATTAGATAAGTGTTTCATTTGAAAAAAATTACTGGAGAGAGCGAAAATGGTGTCATGGTTGATAACAAAATTCAAGGGGGAGAGAGAGAGAGAGAGAGAGAGAGAGAGAGGAGCAGCAATATGGGCATATGAGAAAGCAAACATTATGCAATGCACGTCAACAGGCTAATAGTAAGTGAAACCAAGGGCATTAGGTACTAGCGGGCCGAAATTCTGCGAGGGATGTATACATTATTGCACACCTAACCTCCAGCTTTATTCCCAGGAAGTAGTTGTCCTTGGACTTGAACTTCGTGTTGTGCTTCACTCCTTACTGGGTAATATACAGCAATATTTCAGTTTTTGGATAAATGATTTTCTTTGGGCTCTGCATAGTCTTTACTGTATCTCATGTTTAGGTTTTGTTTGCACCTTTTGCACCTATACTCATATTTTAGAGTATTATTAGGGCTGTATATGCAAAGGTTAAGGTCAATTTGAGCTTAATCTAAAGTTTTATAATTAGATGGTCTCAGCCGAGCTTGCCCTCTATGTTTACTGGAGTTTAGGTTTGTCTGAAATTGTACCCTAGGCAAATTGTTTAGCTAGCATGATAGAAAATATGTGTCAATAGTGGGACTTGAACTGAGCACTTGTTGAAATATCAAACGTTTTTGTTTAACTGAACCAGTGGGATAGAAAAACATGAAATCTAATCTAAACTAGATAACATGAAGCTCAAGTTTAGCTCCACTGGAACAAATCATGACCCATTCTGCTTAAGTTTTGATCCGAATAGAATGAGCTATGGTCCAGCTAACACATTTTGCATTCACAATACTATATGCATGTGGATAGGCATATGTACACAGCTACTCAAGAGGTTTCCAAGATAATATTCCATAAGCTATGCCAGATACATTTTTTGTTCCATATCTGAGTATGCATTTTTTTTGGTGATGCTGTAACTCTACAGGTGATCATCAATGTTGGTTCAATGAATAATATCATTTCTTTTGACAAGGTAAAAGTTACTGTTCCCTGTTGTATTTATTCGAACTTTTTCTCTGTCTTGCCCAGTATTCATAAATGGAGGGCATTTTTCAGTTTTTGGCTTTGGATTGAACCATTCACTTATAGCTTGTTTCAATTTTCTGTTTGGAGGAAATAATTATTTCTTTAAGCTTGTTCATCTCTTACAATTGTTAGTTTTGTTTGTCAGTTCACGCTGGTGGTTTTCAGATTAGGTGTTCTAGATGTTCTTAAAGATTATGTGTAACCATTTCAAATCCACCGAAATACTGGCTTATCTTCAAAGCAATCAACTTATTCTATGTTTAAGGTTAGCGGTACACTGGTATGTGAAGCAGGATGCATACTGGAAAATCTGATCTCTTTCCTGGATAACCAAGGGTAATTTTTCATGACTCTAGTATCCTCTTTTTTCCAGGGATGTGATATATAGAAAGCATGGTCATAACAGAATCTTACTTTGCCAAACACTTTTGTATGCTATTTTTAAGAAGTACACTTTCCAACCTCCCTATTTTCTTCTCATAGCGCAGGAGAAGCTTGTTTCAGTGCACTTTCTTTTCTTTTCTTTTAGATTTCAGATGCTTAATGTCATACCAACTTCATGCATTTCTCTCTGAATGTTGCAAGGCCTATTTTAAAACACTTTGAACTTCTCTTTCTCAAGAAGCAGAAGCGTTGTGTTTTCGTAGTGCTGTACATAAACACCCCTATTTCTTCCTCTCAGCCTCAAACACCCCTATTTCTTCCTCTCAACCTCAAACACCTTCACAAGTTTGCTCTCCTCTCTAAATTTCAATCACCCGAAATCAACCACACCCTTAAGTCTAGAATTCATGCTGTTTTGGTACTAGAATATATAGTCCTTCAGCTTGTCGGAAATACTGACTTTTTTCGGTCTGACCACATTTGTGTTGATCTGATGAGACCACCAATTATGTTTATGTGTTTTTCTATTCCATATATTTCTTATAATAATTATTTCTGGTATCACTAGTTATTGTTTCTGTCTACTAGGGTTATGATCTTCATATACCTATGTTAACGAAACAGTGATTGTTACACGTATCAGTATCCTACCACAATTTGTTCACTCATGGCACCCAAATGCAAGTTCTCATCATCTATCATCAGTGCATTCGTATAATTTGGCAATATTAGCGTACATTGTCAATAGCTGGAATAGCATAATGGACCATTTTTAAAGTTAAAGATCATTTATGCTGCATGTTTTCGTGTTGAATGTATTTCTTTGGAGAATCTAGTTGGAGATTGTTTCATTCAAATTGAACCCAAGCAACAAATAGATACTATAATGACATCATCATGAAATGACGTAGCACCAGCAGACTATATTTGTTTGATTTGGATATGTGGATAGTGCTTGTGATTTTAATTTTTTTGTATTTATTATTTACTTCTTATTGTGTGAGTTGTTGTTGTGGTTGTGATTATTGTTGTTATTTTTTGGTCTGTTCTTATGTAGTTTTCAATCATAGGGTTTATAGTTGATAAATTTACTTTTCTCATATTTAACTGCAGATAATTTTGTTTTTGGCTTCAGATTTATCATGCCACTAGACTTGGGTGCAAAAGGAAGCTGCCAAATTGGTGGAAATGTTTCGACTAATGCAGGTGGTTTGCGCCTTGTGCGATATGGATCACTTCATGGGAATGTACTTGGTGAGGACTTCTCTTGTTCTCATGTATTCCTTTTTGTGCAATTATATCCCTATCTACAAATTTATCTTAAGTTATCAATTAGATACTCAATCATTCTCATTACATATAACTAATACACGCGGTGATTGATGTGGGTATAAACTGTGTGAAGTTCTACCACAGCGACTTTCTGTTACAATTTAGAAACTATTGTTTATAATTCGACATATATACTCTGTCATCTCATCTGTATAATGCCCATATATCTTGCAAATGTGTAATATGAGAAATTCATTGGTTTTTCCCCTCATACCTTTTCAACTTATGCACTCCAGATATAGTTCATATAAAATATGGTGTATGCGATCTCTTTGTTTCATTACAATTTGCACAATGTCCATTGCATTGTCAAATTTGTTAATTCTGTTCATAACCTTTGAGTAAACATTATAAGTCTATATATGAAATGTATACTACAAGTAATGTTTGCTTAATTCGTTCATTGAGTACCTATGTGCTTCTGTTAGCTCCTTTTCTTGCCGATTGGGTGGCAAATAGGTGGCTTAATTATTTTCCTTTCACTGCATCTATTTTGAAGCATATTTCTGGCTGTTTTTTCAGGTCTTGAAGCTGTTTTAGCAAATGGTACTGTGCTTGATATGCTTGGGACTTTACGCAAAGATAATACTGGATATGATGTGAAGCATTTGTTTATAGGTAAGTATATTTTTACTGCCTTTTAATCAAGTTTAAAAAGAATTACTCATTTCCCATTTCTCTATTAGGCTGAAAATGTGTTATCTTCCCACCGACTTTGTTACTTTTCCATCCTCCTATTTGTCATAGGAAGTGAAGGATCTTTGGGAATTGTAACAAAGGTTTCCATACTAACCCCTCCAAAGTTGTCTTCAGTAAATGTGGCTTTTCTTGCTTGTGAAGATTATATCAGCTGCCAGGTATAATAATATGCATTACATGTAATATCAATTTGACAAAGCAAGTAATCCTTTCTGGGCATGAACACCAATTTTTCAGAACTCTTGGGTGACTTTGTTCCAACTTGGGGTTGATTTGACTTCCTGCTTACCATTGGTACTCATTAATACTCTAAGAAAAAATCTTTCAATATAAAAATTCCATCATTACATGAAGGTTTGGATGATTTTCTCAAAATGTATGCTGTTATGAAAATTTCTCAAACTGCATTATTTTAATAAATTAATCCATCTTCTAGAGTGGAAAGATTGATGTGAATCCATGATATTGAATGGTACTACATTGCTTCATGATCATGCTTATTTCTTAACTTATATTCTGATTAATATTTTAACTGAGAGCTTATGTAGGTTACTTCCTTTTGTTTCAGAAACTCCTACTAGAAGCTAAGACGAGGCTTGGTGAAATTCTATCTGCATTTGAATTTTTGGATACCCATGCAATGGATCTGGTAAGGCTTTTTCTGCCAGATACCAGTATCACGTGTCCTTATTTGCCCAATCATCGGTCAGAATAATCACTGTCCATTTTGAAATATTTGTGATCGTTGGGTAAGGCTCACTCATTGATGTAATTTATTTTGTGTCCTTTTCCCTGGAAACAGTTCCACTAACTTGGAGAAAATGGCAGCAAGTCAGTCAGCTTATGGAGCATTATTTTGTGGCCATAGAATTCTGTTTTCGCTTTCTATTTCTTTTTAGCATGCATGGTTTCATATCAATATGTAGTAACAAGGTGTAGGGTAGTTGGGGCGCCAGGTTCTGAAAAGAATTTGGTCGGGGTGTAGAGTGGTGCCGCTGTAGCTCTTTCGTTGTGGTTGGATGGAAAAGAAATGGTGCCCTACTGGTGTTGTGGGTTGGCTTGGGAAACAGGTTCTTTCTTGTGGAATGGTGTTGTTTTCTCAGGGTTGTTTTCCATGGAACAGGTTGTGAGACATTTGGATGCTGTGCGGAATCCATTACCTCCCTCGCACAACTTTTATGTGCTAATTGAGACAACAGGCAGTGATGAAACCAATGACAAGTAACTTGCTACTCACTCATTGTTTTTCTGTTAGAATCAGTGGCATGTTTTAAAATTAGAATATTTTATTTTAAGTAGATATTAGTGTTGCTTATCAAAAAATTACTTTTAACGTTGTTGATGGATCAGCATAGTTTTGTCCATGGTTCTGAATTAAAAAGAGTTTCCTGCATGCCTTTTCTTGTAATCTGGTACCATATAACAAACAAAAGCATCAAGTTGATAAACGATGTGAATAAAATCATTTTAAGAAACTTCCACTCTGGACAGAACAACAGGTCACATTCTGCATTTCCTGTCAATGCATGCTACCTCTTGGGTGTGAGACAGAGATTAGATTAGTCCACTTCTATGACCAAAGTTGCATGACAACAGTCTCCTGGAGGTGATAAATGGCATTATTTGTAAGTGGAATGCTTTAGTTTATACCAGCTTACGAAATCAGTGTATGGGTATACACCATGTTGATTTTATGTCCCGCTGCCGCCAACTGCAGTTGTTATGTATTTCTTATTTGCAGTAGGTAGAGTTCAACAACCTGATAATAGTCAAATCATAGTGTAAAATGTAATTGCAATGCGAAAAGGAGACAAAATACTCATATATGCCCCTTGACAGAAAACACTGGTTTGATTCTCCTCCTGATTTCTGAAGTTTGAATATTCCATAGTGCACCAATTAACAACTCCTTTCCAAGTATCATTTTCTCTTAAACTGTAAACAGATCGCTTTTTCTGAGTTATCAAGGTAATTGATGCTTTACTATGGTTTTTGATAGACCCTAATATGATCTGCATTAGGAATATTACTGTGTGATGCATAACTCTAACTCAGCATTTGACTTTCAATTTACTAGAGAATTTATCATACTACTGAATTCCTTCTAGTTGATGCGCTGATGTTTCTTGTATTGTACTACTTTATGTTCATGTCTCTAGAGAGAAGCTTGAGGCATTCCTACTTCGTTCAATGGAAAGCGGTTTGATATCTGATGGTGTTCTTGCACAAGACATAAATCAAGCATCTTCATTTTGGCGTATTCGTGAGGTTCGTGTATTGGAAAGTCTTTCTTCTGTCACTATTGGACATTTATCTCTTGCTGGACATATATATGATTCATATTTCACAGTCCGTATCCATATAGTGGTGATTTAGTGTATGTTGTGCCCTTTTTGGCCATGTTGCAGAACAATACCAAGAAACCCCTAGTAAAAATAAATCAACCTAGTTTTTTAATCAAACAACTAATATTATGGATCTACAATGCTTTTGTAGTGTGTTTTTTTCCTGATTAGTCTAATTGGCAAGTTTGGGTCCACTATATCATACCTGATCAAGGTTAACTTGATCATACCTGTAATTTTGCACCTAATTGCTGCTTGACTATGCAAACTTCAGCAATGATGTGATTAGTATTTTCAGAAGAGAACAAACGTTAGACATTTTCTCGTCTCTTTGATTGCTGCAGAGTGATTTCTTGGAGTTCACTGTGATAATGCACCACTTACGGGAAAAACCGTAATACATTCTTTGCATGAAAAGTAGAACTCAGTCTCAGTAACTTGGAATTATTCATTGTTTGGTCCCACAGTTTTTTTCCTTTTCCTTATGTTAATACTATGCAATGGCTGATTGGTGAATCTGAGATGAAGAAACATGGATGCAGGGCATAGCAGAAGCATTGATGAAAGCAGGGGCTGTATACAAATACGATTTGTCACTGCCTGTTGAGAAGATGTACAATCTTGTTGAGGAAATGCAAATACGTCTCGGTAATTAAGTTAAGCTTGCACTAACATAATTTTTCTGTACTGATTTTCCTGTCTTGGTTGTTGGTAAGTTATTGCTTCTTTAGGGTGGTGGTTAGAGCAAGTAGTGGTATCTGAACCCAAAGGCACTGTTGTGTGTGGCTCTGATTCAATGAGAAATCTGTTTGTGTATGCTACTATCAGTTATGAAATGTCAGTTTTGCTTTAACATGCAGTGTCATATTTCTGTAAATAAATACTAGTCTGTGGAGATCATGTTTGAATAATGGCGGAATTGTTAGTAATGTCTTGATCTTAATTCTTAACCTTCAGAACATAAAGGTATACTTTCTAACTTTTACTTTTTCCTTATATTCAATTGGAATTTCTAGGCTCAGCAGCCAAAGCAGTTGGATATGGTCACCTTGGAGATAGCAACTTACATCTTAATATATCAACTCCACAGTATGATGATACCGTAATTTCCCTGTTCCTGCTTTGATTCAAATAGTTGGTCATGCACTTTTTGTGGATTGTATTCCTAATTGAAATTACTATGTTGCAGATTTTAGCAGAAATCGAACCCTTTGTTTACGAATGGACATCGAAGCACCAAGGGAGTATCAGCGCTGAGCATGGCCTTGGACTGATGAAAGCTAATAAGATTCACTACAGCAGGTCACCTGAAGCAGTAAGTCTAATACCTATATTGTTTTTTGTTATGTTTTCTAGTTAGTGTCTTTCTTCCAAAACTCTGAATATTGGTTGTGTCAATGGGAGGGTAGCACACTTGAAGGATTTGAGCCACTGTCTCCTCTTCTTGTAAAAGTGTCATACTTCCTAGGAGGTCCTAGTTTTGCTTATATCTGGGACCATTTAGATGGTAAAGCTTCAATAGATTGGCTTCAAAATCCTTTTGCCGCTTGACATGATTTTTTTTATATCTTTGAGCTCCAGTTTTTTTTAGGGTGGCAACAAATGGCAAAAGAAATGTAATAAAGAAGAAAATTTATTTTAATTATCTATATAGTTCCTTAGGAAGGCTACAATTTAGAGAAAGGCGAAATGATTTTTATATGACCAAGAGAAAGATGTCAGTGATGGCCATGTCCAATCAAACGGTTTGTGATTGATATATACTAAGAATTTATTGAAAATAAATATTTGTGATTCATATATACTAAGATTTTGTTGAAAAGAAATGATTATGAGGTCTCTACTAGGTACTAAGGGAATAAATTTTGTTCAAGAAAAAGAATTCATGTCAAGATAGTAGACAACTTGCATCAAAGAAACTTTGATTTCTTGGAGCAATTTTTCTGGGTATCTTGAGCAGGAGAAATCATGAAGGTTCTGCTGATGCAAATTCTAATGAGTTATGAATGGGTGCTTATAAGCTAATCTGCCCATCATTCCTCAGAATTTGGCTGTCCAATATATATAGATTCTGGGTATCCGTCTCTCAGTGAATAAATCTGACAAATTTAATCAGTATAAACAGGTTATACAATTGCAATGAACTGTGTAAAAATTATGTTAAAGCCAGTAAACATATAAAAATGGTCAGTAGTGACAAGGCATAGCTTGAGGTGCTGGATATGTTGAAAATTTTCTACTTCAGGATTGTCCATATTTTGGACTCTCGCTTTAGTGAATAAATGAATAATATAAGGGGACTTGTCTTGAGATGGTCTGTATTTCTACACATCTTGAACTTTCAGCTTGGTTGTCGAGATTTATTTTCTTTATTTTCTTTTTGGTCTATCTCTTGTACCTAGAACATGGATACATTTAAATTCCATCACCACTATTCTTGTAAAATATTTTAAAACTTTGGACTGATAGTATAAAAATGAAAGTTAATTTGTCCATCTCAAAGAAGTAGATGAAAAGTGTCCCTTCTTCTTCCTCTTTTTATTTTTGATTTATTTTCTTTTTTATTCTTCTAATGACTGTATGGTTTCAACTAAGAAAGTTTCTAAAACAAAGTCTGCATTTGGACAGGTGCAGCTAATGGTGGCCATCAAGAAGTTGCTTGACCCCAATGGGATTCTCAACCCGTATAAAGTTCTTCCACCATCCCTCATATCTCAAAGTTGAGGTGATAAATCCCAGGAAGCCTGATTTATCTCTACGTAATCACATTCTTTGCTTCATAAAGAGTGATTTCATGTGCATGTTACTTTTAGATTGGGCATGTGGATAGATGGTCTGTGATTGAGGTGAGTGGTCTCGTATGATATGCGATACGTATCGTATGATACGTCACGATATATCTGAAAAACGATACGTATCGTGTCTCTGTATCGTTTTTACGCCATATCGTACGATACACAATATGATACATATGATATGATACGATACACTCGATACATACGATACGTGACAATTCTGTATTTTTTGTTTTATTTTGTTTTTTGGGATTGAAATGACATCGTTTTACCCTAAAATTTATTTTTAAATCACTAACTAGTGAAACAACGTCGTTTCAGTAGTTATAGTTTAAAATAAATAAATAAAGTCTAATGTTAATGTTGTTCAATTAAATTCAAAATTCCTTATTAATATTAAAGTTGTTCAAACAATTGATGTTAGAAGTTTGAATTAGAGGTCTTTGTATTTTGATATTACTGAACTATGTTGGAAACTTGAATAGTTAGTGAAATATTAATGAAATACTATGTTATTAAGAGTCTATGACTTTTTTATAAAGGTATATACATATATTTTTGTAGAAAATAACCGAGGAAAGAAAAGAAAGAATAATCTCTTCATTCATCAAGTTTATTGAATTGTACAAACTTAAATAGTGATAAAGATCCTATCTCTTCCTAATAATAAGCAACTAAAAAATAGGAAAAACAATAAATTTAGGAATCAGTTATATACAACTGATATCCCTTTATTTTAGGTACGAGATAAGCTAATAATTTAATACCTAATCCCTAGATATCAGATTACAATTAATTCCTAGAAATCAGGTAGTAAATCACGGAATTCCAACACTCCCCCTCAAGCTGGTGCAAAGATGTCTGTCATGCCCAACTTGCTAACTTGGAGCTCAAACGGCTGTCTCAACATGCCCTTGGTTAGAATATCTGCCACCTGCTGTGTAGTAGGAACAAATGGAGTACAAATCACTCCTTCTTCAAGTTTTTCTTTTATAAAATGTCTATCAATCTCAACGTGTTTTGTCCTGTCATGTAACTGGATTATAAGCGACGCTGATTGCTGCCTTGTTATCACAGTATAACTTTATAGGAAGACTAATTGGCCTCTTAAGTTCTTCTATTGCCCTTTTAAGCCACAGTACCTCATACACTCCTTGAGCCATTGACCTATATTCAGCTTCAGCACTACTTCTGGCCACAACACTCTGTTTCTTGCTTCTCCAAGTGACTAAATTGCCCCATAGGAATGTATAGTACCCTGATGTAGATCTCCTATCAGTGACTGAACCTGCCCAATCTGCATCTATATATACCTCTATTCCTCTATTCTCATTTTTCCTGAAGAAGAGTCCTTTCCCTCGTGTGCCCTTCAAATATCGAAGAATTCGATACACAGCTTCAAGATGTTCCTCATATGGGGAATGCATAAATTGACTTAACATGCTCACAGCGAAAGCAAGATCTGGTCGAGTATGGGACAAGTAAATCAGCTTCCCAACTAGCCTTTGATATCTACCAGTGTCAACTGGAACACCATCCTTCACCTTTCCAAGCTTAGCATTAACTTCTATTGGAGTGTCAGAAGGTTTGCATCCACTCATTCCAGTTTCTTTCAAGAGGTCTAAAATATACTTCCATTGTGACACTATAATACCCTTCTTTGATCTGGCACCTTCCATTCCAAGAAAATATTGTAACCGACCCAAATCTTTAATTTCAAACTCTTTAGCCAGACTTAGCTTTAATCTGCATATCTCTTCTACATCATCTCCTGTCAAAATTATGTCATCTACATAGACAATCAAAACTGAGATCTTGTCTTTAGCAGAATTCTTTGTGAAAAGAGTATGATCAGAATGTCCTTGGCTATAGCCCTGACTCTTAACAAACTTTGTAAATCCCTCGAATCAGGCTCTAGGTGAATGTTTAAGACCATATAGAGATTTTTTTAGCTTGCATACTTGAATCCAAACCTCTCAGTAAAATCGGGTGGAGGTTACATATAGACTTCCTCCTCTAGGTCTCCATTCAGAAAAGCATTCTTCACATCTAGCTAATTTAATGGCCAATCAAGATTAGTTGCAACAGACAAGAATATTTAAACAGTATTTAGTTTTGCCACCGGAGAAAAGGTTTCAGAATAGTCTACTCCGTAAGCCTGTGTGAAACCTTTAGCTACTAAACGAGCCTTGTATCTCTCCAGGGATCCATCTGAGTTGCACTTCACAGTAAATACGCATTTACAACCAACAATTGTCTTCCCATGTGGCAAATCCACCTTCTCCCAAGTAGGATTCTTCTCCAGAGCTCTCATCTCCTCAAATATAGCTTCTTTCCACTCAGGAACATTTAGAGCCTCCTGTACACTATTTCTAATAACCACACTGGACACTTGTGAAATAAAACTAAGGAGATGACACATTTTTATAATATATAGAATTTGACGGAGGATGTTCTGTATATAAGACCTAACACCTTTCCTAAGAGCAAGGGGAGGATCAAGTTGACTTGAGGAATTTCACACAGAATTACCTGGAAGATTGTTGTTGATCTCATGATCTAACCCCTGATTAGATTCTTGGTAGTGCTGCAAGACAGTGCCCCTTCTTCTTTGTGCTTGATAATCCTTTGACTACACAAGATCTTTGTACTGTTTCGCACCCATCTCTGTTGTTTCAGTATTTTGATTTTGGGATGGTATTAAGGAAGGTTGTCCATCAATCTTAGTTTCAACATTTAATTCATTCGTTTTCACAGGCTTTGTGTTTTCTCCTTCATTTCCTTTAAGTGATTGTTTAGGCAAAACATCATCATGAACAAACTCAAAGGTTAAATCAGAATCATTTAAAAACACATCTTAACTACTGTTCTCTCCGAGGATGAGAATTGCTATAGTATGATTGCCCTTCAAAGAAGGTGACATCCATTGACACAAATATTTTTCGAACAACTGGATCAAAACATTTATAACCTCTTTGATTTATAGGATAGCCAACAAAAATACATTTAAGTGCTTTTGGATCAAGTTTTGTACGTCTAGGGTCATGATTATGAACAAAAGCAGTACTTCCAAAGATTTTCAAGGGAATATCTATTGTTAGCCGAGAGGTGGGAAAACATTCATTGAAAACCTTCATGGGTGTTTTAAATTTTAAAATTCTCGTAGGCATTCTATTGATCAAGTATGTGGCTGTTAAAATTGCTTCTGCCCAAAGATGCTTTGGAACTTTAGTTGTAAAACTTAGAGCTCTGGCAACTTCAAGGAGATGTTTATTATTTCTTTCAGCCACCCAGTTTTGTTGAGGAGTATTATTGCAAGAACTTTGATGTACAATCCCTTTCTCAGCAAAAAACTTCCCTAACACATTGTTAAAATACTCCTTTCGATTATCACTTCGAAAAATTTTAATGAGTCTGAAATTGTGTTTGAACCATTGTATAAAAAATTTTGAATACATTTTCAGCATCAGATTTGTCTTTTAGATGGAAAACCCAACTGACCCTAGTATGATCATCAATAAATGTGATGAACCAACGTTTTCCAGAAAAGGCTGCCACCCTAGAAGGACCCCATACATCACTATGAATCATGGTAAATGGTTTTGATTTTTTATATGGTTGAGAAGGAAAAATAGCGCGATGATGCTTAGCTAATTCACAAGATTCACACCACAAAACAGAAGTATTTTTATTTATGAATAACTTGGGTAACAAATGCTTTAAATATTGAAAATTGGGATGTCCTAATCGATAATG